TCTATTTTTTATATAAATTTTTTTTTAAATTAATATAATTTTACAAATGATCAAACAAAAATTTTTTATTGTAAAAGGCATTAAATCTTTTCTTAATCTTCTATTATCAGCACATTATTCGATGTTATTCATAATATTATATAAAAATATAACAAAATTAATAGCTTTATATTAATTTTTATTAATATTTATATTTTAATATAGAAATTAACAAAATTAATATGTACTATAGTTTTAAATTATTAAACATATAATTGTTTAAAATATTTATTAATAGGACAACGGACGCTTAAGTTCTCTAAATAAATATGTAAAAGAATATCGCGGAAGAAATTTTTTTTTAAATATTTAATGTTTAATAGTATGATCAATCATATAAATAATAAAAAAAAAATGTATCTTTTGAGATTTATGTAATTGTAAATTTAATTTGAAATGTTAATTTTTGTGATAATTTAAATATAGGAATTAAAAAACTCTCAAATTCAAGAATATTTTTTATTCACTGATTTTTTCATAGAAATAATACAATACTGTTTTGTAAATAAAATATAATTACAAAAAAATGTAACACTGTTTTTTTTTTTTATGAAAACATTAAAGAATATTAAAGATAAAGTTAAATCAATCAATTTTTTTTATTTATTTTTAACAAATTACTATATTATTTTAGACAATATATTTAATAAGTAATGAAGATAAAATGAAAAGAGAGAAAATAAGAATTATTCATATCTATTGAACTTATATATATAATATTTATATAATTTAATAATATTAATTTGAGTATACATTGAATTGTTAAATACAAAAATTAAAATTGCGAAATTAAGTAGAATGTATTATAAGAATATATTTTGAAACTAAATAGAATTTTGTTATGTTTATATATTTCTTTTAAATAAATATAATTAAAGTATAACATTTGAATTAATACATCAGAAATTTTTCCTTTTCTGTCAAAATCTTTTTTTTTATGTCTTTATTCTTATTTTACATTGTACAGAAATTTATTAAAAGAATTACTTTTATAAAATACTTTTATAAATGTATAATATACTGAAATATACTTAAATAATTATTTCTTATAATTATTACTTATTTATATATTTTCTTTTTAAAATTTATTGTTTTAATACTATACATTTTTATTATCTTTCAAATGTATTTTTAACTTCTTAAATTATTTTAAAAGTAACTTTCGGCTATGTCTTATAAATATTAAGTAAAATTATAAAAGTAAAATTATAAAAGATTATATTTTTATTTTTTATTTATACAATAAACACGATCATTTTTTGGCTTACTTCATTTTTTTTTATAAAAAATATTATTTTTAAGCCTGATCATGATTATCAATTATAAAATCTAATTTCTAGAATAGAATTTCTAGATAATTTAATGTTAGAAAATCTTGATACAATATGTTAAAAATTATTCATTAACAGTTTTCTTTTATATAAGAATTTATCTTATAATATATTTGTTATAAATTGAATTTTAGTTATAATTTTAATGATAAGTTCAACAAAAATAAGGCACTTTTCAGGTCTCTCTATTAATTTTAATTAATTTGAATATTATAATCTATAAAATTTAGATTATAATATATAAAATTATAAAAAAATATCTCAAATTATAATTGTTATATTGAACCAAAAATTTTTAAAAATTGAAAATGAATTTTAAATATTTTGAATATTCAGATAGGTCCAGCCTATATTATTTGTATCATATTATTCTATTAAATTACATCTACTTTATGGACAATTAAAAATTATCTTAATGATGTGAGATAAGGTTGACATGTCATTCGTTGAACCGGTTGATAAATTCTTTTTTGAACTGAACCAGCAATTGAACCATTATGTATAATATTTGATTCTGATTCTCCGAGTATATCGTTTGTTCCAATATAGTGTGATCCTCGAGAATCATTTTGAATTTCATTTGAAATATTTTGTTCATTCGTTTCATTTCTTTTACGAAATTTAGTGGAATATTTATAGAAATCAGACATTTCAAAAGGTTTTGTAACTTCTCTATATGGTTGATATCTTCCAGCTTGTACAATTGTACAATTCTGTGAAGATCCCAACACAATTGTTTCTTCATTCGTTTCTTGCGGTGATTTTGATTCCGCTGGAATTTCAAGCACTTTTATATGTGTCGGTTCGTAACGAGAAGACAATGATTGCAAATGTTGATCAGTTTCAACCATCAATATATCACTTTTACGATGATTAACTGAAGGCATATAATTATTTTTGTCTTCACCAGTTGATGATTTAGAGCAAACAGGTAGAGTAGATTGATAATGAATATTTTTATGCGATGATATTAAATTGATATCTGATCCTGGACTTGTGCCTGAATCCAAAGAAGTTTCATACCATTCTTTTTCTTTTCCTTTTTTACCAATATTATCTATTGTATCTTTATTATCATGCAAATGACTTGATTGCCATTTTTCTACACTACCTAAAGATTGGGTACGTAGTAACATTTTATTGTTACTAGATGATTGTTCGGATAATGGAAGTAAATGGACAGAAGTATTTTGAGATGAAATGTAAGAATTTTTACTACAACCTACAGATACTGTACGATATCGTGGTTGTATATCAGTGCCAATACTACTACTATGTTGAACAGCATTGCGTTTTCTTCGATCTAAACTGCCAAATCTATCTGAAGCAAATTGATCATCTGTGCACCAAACAATTTCATCTTCATATCGCATCCAATAACCTGATGGTAATTGTGATTCACTTGGTGAATCTGTGTATCGTAAATTTTTATTTGTGTTAATATCGCGGTCTCGTCTTATTACAGATTGTGACTGAGAATTATTTTTATGATATACTGGGAATTCAGGTATATGTGTATAATGTAATGTACGAAAATCTCTTTCATAATATTCTTGTCCAGATCTTCGTTGGATATCATTATCCAATTGTTTATGATCAGAATATTGTTGATAATTATGTACTTGATCTTGTTGAAATTGACGATATCGTAATTGTCGCTCATCTTCGGTATATGTATTTGGCAAAGGTCTATACAATCGTTCACTATCTTGATAAAAGTTTTGAGTACGTGAACTACCACTGCCATGAGAATATGTTCGCGTGCGACATTGATCGGATAATATGTAAACATTTTGATTATCGTTATGATCATGTTCAATTATTTTGATACTTTGTCGCTGATCAGAAATTGTTGGACAATAAGGATTGATGTGATTATGATTATAACTATTAGGTATTAGGGATTGATCGTCATATCCATGATTAGGATAAGCATTACATTTATCTTCGGATCCTAATGGACTTAAACTTATACCACTCTCTTGAAGCAATCCTCTTGTAATTTTAGTATTTACGTCATTAACTGTAAAAAAAATATATCTAAAGTAAAATTAAATAAGTATGATTTTTTTATATCTAGAATAAAAAATTATCATACCTGTGCCATCTAATGGTGGTCGAGGTTTCTTTGTTCTATGTTTCACATTAGTATGTAAATGTGACTGAGCATTACAAATGGTAGAGTGTTGAAATTGTGTTGAATGATGTGTTTTATTACGACTTTGTCTTAGAAAATTTAAACGTGCTTCCAATTCTTGAAGTCTACGTTGACTTTGTTGATAAACAAGTCTATGTTTACGGCGTACTGCTTTGCTTTCTTTAGGATCATTCACAATTCCTAAAGCAGCTTCTACTATACCAATTTGAACTTGTCGTTCTAATTCCAAAGCAGATTCCTCCTAAAAAATATAATAATAAATTATTTATTTTAATATTTTGAACAAAATATTAATTTAATTTTTTGAAATTTTTTAGAAACATACAACTTCATTTGTTTTCAATTTATTAATTAAATTCTGTGGATATGTAAATGCTGTTCCGATTCTTTTACGGAATATTGGTGGACTTTCTCCAGGTTCTAATGGAATTTCTGGTGGTAAAACACCAGTCAATTCCGCTTCTTCTACACATAAGTTTTTAAGCTCATTGTTTTTTTGTGCTAATTTTTCTTGCAATGCTTCTCTACGTTGACGAAGCCATTGTAATCTTGTGGATAACGAATCTTCTGCTAAAGATCCAGATGTATTTTCGTTCCCTGCCATCACTTGCCACACAGAAGAAAAAAATTTAGTTATAATTTATAAATAGAATTTGAGCTTTTATTAAATAATATAATTATGCAACTTATAATAATTATATTGCTTACCCATATTATTAAAAAAAATGTAATGAGAATGCACTACAATAATTTAATTAGAATATTTATATAATCGAATCTCATGAATTTGAAAATATCAATGTTGACACGTTTAATAAATCATGTATAATAGACAACGTAACTTTCTTTTCATTTCTTTTAATTATAAAATATTTGTTTAAAATGATATTTTTTATCATTTTTAAATTATTTTTCCGTTATAAATTTTATAAAAACGCGATAATAATTACACGATAGTGGTAGGTTAACTATTACAATTATCAAAATTATTTATATTTGTATAAATCAATTCACATTAGTTGATTCATAATTTGTTGAAATTAATGTTCGTAAAAACTTATTCAATAAATATAAATATTTTTGTTAATTAAATATAAGAATATATTATATCTTTTATAACAGAAACGAAAAATATGATCAAAGAAATCGACGCCTATTGTCTTTGTACAGTTGCCATTTTATATTTTACATGATCTATATAGTGATTTGATTATAATTGAATTTCATTTTCAGTTATGAAAATTTACACAAAAATTTATTTAAAATGTATATAATTTATATAAATTTAATTTTTTAATGGAAATCTATATTTTCATATATTATTTTTTGTCAAAATAATAGTTTTAATTATATTAATAGTGGCATCATTGATATTGCATATTATATATATGTGACTAAGTAAACACTTCTGCTTAAGTGAACTTAATTTTTATTTCAATGATATTTGAAATAAATTATTAAAAAAAATACATAATAAATTTTAAAATTTATATCATATATAACGAAATAACTTGAAAAATATTAAAATCAAGTAAATGATAAATTTGAAATTATTAAATTAATAAATATTAATTAAAAATTCAATTTGTTAATAAAAGTTTTTGATCAATTTAGGCATTAATTAATATGGTCAATATTTTAAAACCTGAATGTTCTTTTACATCATGGTATCCTTTATTTTGTAAAGATTCTTTAAAAGCAACAATTATTTATATTCCTGACGAAGTTCTTAAATATTTGGAACATGGTGCATTTATTTTACCTGTTGAAGCAACAAATACAATTTTACAAAATGCAGAATGGATGGATGGATCTCCAGTAATAAATGATGAGGTAAATTTAAAATTTATAATATATGGTTACATGAAAAATAATTGAAAATTATTTTCTATCAGCATTTATTTGAGGTTCAACCAACATTTCCACAATTTAGTCAACAAATTCAAAATGTTATAGATGAATATGGTGCAGTTTTTATAAAAAGTAATTGGAGTTCACCTTTGGTATGAATATTATCTATTGACTTTTATTGAAAAATATTTAATTTTATCATGTATATGCATCTATTTTTAGGATGCAACTTGGGTTGCACCAACTAAAACATTAAAATGCAAAACATTGGAAGAAATATATTTATTATTAAAAAGTTCAGATAGAATTGCTAAAGATTTGAATAATGCAAAAAATTATTTGGATTATGAAACTCCTATAAAATCTTGTCTTATATTAAAGAAATGGAGAGATATTAATCCCTGTACAGAATTTCGATGTTTTGTAATACAAAATGAACTTATAGGTAAGAAATTACAAATTTTTTAGAATATTTAGAATGTTCATAATTCATTTGTTATTTGATTATTTATAATGAATTAATATTTTATTTTAAATTTTTTCCAGCAATCAGTCAACGAGACATATCACAATATCATAGTTATAATGAATCAGAAAAATATAACATTCAAACAGATATCAAAAGCTTATTTATGGAACGTATTAAAGATAGATTTCCATTGAATAATTGTAAGTAATTATAGAATATCTTTGTGAAAAATTTATTTAATTTAATATATAATATATTGTGATATAGATTCATTTGATGTTATACGATATAAAAAAGAAAAAGTAAAAATAGTTGATTTTGGTCCTTTGGATGAATCTGTTGTCAAAGGAACACTTTTTACATACGAAGAACTACAGAATCTTGTAGAAAGTACTCCAGAATTTAGATTTATTGGCGAAGAAATTGGTATTCAACCAAAAATTCCAAATCATTTTTGTATTCCACAAGAAATAAATGAATTTTTTCAATCTAATGAAAATACAATGCTATTAGACATTATTCAACAAGTAAGTTTATGATTTTTTAAAATTGTATAAAAAATTCGTTACTATTCATTATTATTTTATTTACCAATGATTAATTTAATATTTTTAACTTAAGGAGGTGGAAAATCAACGAAATGAATTCGAAAATGTTAATTCTAATAGTTTGGAACATGATTAATGTACATTTGAAAAACAAAAAAATAAATAAGTGAATAATTGTACACTTAAAAAACATTTTTAAATACAGAACTTTCACTTTTATTCTGCCAGACCCTCTTCTATCATTACATTACATAAAACGATTAAAGGCTATCCTACCGCTTAAAAGAATTATCATAATATTGCAATATTTTTCGAGTCATCGGCCTTACCGAGCGATGTCCTTTATATAGAAAATATCTTGTTTATGTACAATATGCAATCCTTAATACTTCGATTTGAAAAAGGATTTTCGATATATGTACCTCCGGACAAATTAATACGCTGTACAGTCATATCCACGGAGTATTTTTTTGTTTTTTCTTCATTATTTTCTGACAAAAAAACAACAAGAGCGAGCAATTACATTGATCGATACTTATCAATTTCTGCGATTTTACATTTTACATTTCCTGATATATTTGCACATGAAAAATATTTGATAGTAGCTTTTATAATTGTAAATGTTATTTCAATTCTTTTTTTATTTTTAATGATTTATCTAATTGTCGATAATTCGATATAATTTTTATGAATTTTATATATCTATTATTTCATATATCAATTATTAAAAAGAAAGAGAAAAGAAAAGAAAATAGTTATTTATTTACTAAAATTTAAGAGAGGTTTTAGATGCCAATATCGACAGTAAGAGTTAAAAATATTTAAACTATCTAACATACAACTTTACTATAGAATTAATTAATATTTTAATTCGTGAGTGTACGCATTCATTGTATAATCATATTTTGGTTGTCTGTTCAGATGTATATGACGTGTATACAAGTACTTCATCATTTAATATTTATAAATTTAAGTTACAATTTCATCTCTTTACGACTAGACTCTCAATCATACAATTATACAATCAATTAAAAAAAATAAGAAAATTATTATAATCATATTTTTCTACAAAATACATATTAATATTCTGACGTTAATCATAAAAAATGTATTGGTAATTCGAAAATAAATTTTCAGTTTAAATGAATAAAATGAATGGCAAAATCAATCCATAAAATATCATATAAGATCATGTAATTTTTTTTTAGATTTTTTAATTTCCAAGTTATACTGTACCAATGGTTTTTGTACGGATTTATAACAGCAGAACGATCTTAAAAGTCTAAATTCAATAGTTTCAGTTCGAAACATGCGTGTATCAGAATATGTGAAAATAACGAGGCCTTTAGCATTCATCGAAATTACAAAGGAATAATATGTAATCGTATGGAGAAAACTACGAAGTTTGCAAGTTTATGCATAATTTTTTTCACTTAACGCTAGTCAAATATTTACATATAAATGCTGATGCGAGTGTATTCACATGTAAATATCGATTCTACGTTAAATATAATTAATGATGCGTTAGATCGAACCGTAGTCTTCATTGAACAAACATTTTCCGACTGGTCGTGTATCTCGAAAATATGTATTATTAATGTTTTATATAATTACAGTACATATGTATAATGGTAATGTCTAGAAAAGAAATGTTCCCTTCATTCGTATTTTTCTTTACTGCATTTTTTTAAATGTATATACAGAGAAGCAGATCTTTCATGATTCTCTTGCTTTTTTCGGACATGACTGTACTGGTGTCTATATTATTTTTTCCCTTTTTTCCCGTTTTTTTATTTTTATTTATTTATTTTTTTAACAACTTCGTCCTCGGTTTATGTGGCTTTTCGTCTCTCTTCGGTTTCTTCCGTCCTTTTCTAATTATTTAATTTCTCGATTTTCAATTGATTTGTGCTAAACGACAATATGTATTTTAATGAATGTACGTTTTGCAGTGCACGGCCGTTTTGTTTACACATTCTCTCTCTCTCTCTCTCTCTCTCTCTCTCTCTCTCTCTCTCTCTCTCTCTCTCTTCCCCTCTATCATTTCTTATTTATTTATTTTTCCAAACTTTTTTTAATAATTTTTCTTTTCTTTTTTCTACTTTATTTTCTCATATTGTTCATTTAAAGATATCAAAGTGACGCGACAATATCGTTCTCTCAAATACTGATATCAAGGGTTTGAGTGAGAAAAAACAGTAGTCTTAACAACATACGATACAAAAACTCTAAGTTAATCATTTAACGGCCAGTGTGAAGCGATTTGAATTTCTTTTCTTCTATCTTTTTTCTGTCTTTCTTCTTCTTCTTTTTCTTCTTCTTCTTCGTCTTCTTGTTCTTCTTTTTCTTCTTCTTCTTCTTCGTCTTCTTCTCTGTTTTTGTTTGTTTTTTTCTTTTTTTTTTTTTTAAGTACCTGAAAAGCTCTCGATTCTGGAAAACTTTGCTTATCCTTAAGTGTTTCTTCTAGATTTTTATTTTCTTTTATTTAAGTCCATTCATGATTTTTCTTTTTACGAAGACTACAGTTACCCCCCTATTATAAATGCGATTGGTACGACTAAAGGTTGGCGAAAAAGGCCAGGCTATCACTGACAATCGTATTCTCTTTCTCGTTTTTATCTCTTCCATTCACTCACTCATACTACATGCACATTCTTTTTTTTTTTTTCTATTTCTCGCTCGTTTACTTTAATATATAAGCTACATGTAATGTTTTTCTCCATCTCATCAAAAAATACGTATTATTATTATTATTATTATTATTATTATTATTATTATTTTAATGTAATGTTCTTTCAAAATTTACATCTACACATAAAGATGCATTTCTTTAACGTCTCTATCTCTTTGTCTTTATGTTTATTTGTTGTTCGTCTCACTTTTATTATATTTCATTTTTATTTTGTTCTTTTGTGTTTTTTCCTTTTTTCATTCTTTTTCTCTTTCTTTCTTTCTTTTTCTTCTTGTTTTTTTTTTTTTTTTTATATCACTTTAGCTGTACAGGAAGATAAGAACTTACATTTAGACAATAACGTTAACTTGATTTTTTTTTTGTCGACTCGCTCCGCTGGAAACTCGTCGGATTATGCTGAAAAAGTTTTAGGATTATTCGTTGAGCGATTTAAATGGGAGTCGAAAAATTTTAAATGTACATTATTTACAAGTCATTGAGTGATCAGAATGGAAGAAGATAGACAACGAAAGTTAGAAAAACAGATAAATTCGTAAGGGCGCCTAGTAAAACGTATGTCAACGTATGTAAGATATTGGGTTTTTAAATTTAACTTTTGTTTGCATTTTGTTATTGCTAATGACATAATAAGATTTATTTGGACGAAGTATTTTCCAACAGAAATTTGAATTTTCAAGGAGCAGCAATTGTACTTAGATTGTCTATATTACCTTTCACTTTGCGCAAACAGAATATTCAAAGTGAAAGGTATTATTTGAAATCGTTCAAGTTACAGCGGGCGATTTCTTCGACATGTAAGACAATTAGAAATTGCTTAGAAAAACAATGATGAGAATTATGAAAAATGATCGACGTGTGCACGAGGTAGAGTTTTACTAATCGATGACAGAATAAGAAAATGAAGAAGATAATTATCTTACAATAATACGTTCAAAACGAAGCAATTAATACAATTTACAATTGGATTATAAGAAAAATAATAAATTTAATACGCTTATGTCGTACTTCATTTCTCCTTTTTTATCATTTCCATTTTTTCTTTCAAATTATTTTTGTTTTCTTTCTTCCTTTCTTCCTTCCTTCCTTTATTATTATTATTATTATTATTATTATTATTATTATTATTATTATTATTATTAT